ATTTGTAAAATTTTCTAAGGTTACACGATTAACAATGCATAAAATCACGTGAAAGTCACGGGCGTGCATTTAGGGAGGGTGGTTTTATATAGTTGGGAATGAGGAAAGACCGTGCAGTGCAGGTATAGAGGTGTTTGCTTATCTCTTAAGTCCCAAGCTTGAGAATGAGTGAAAGCATGTATTTAGATAGGATATACATTTATGGGGTGTGCATTTAGGGGGTTGACTGTAAAAATCTTAAAATACTAATGTAGCCATTAATCAAACACCCCAATCAGATTGCAAATGAGTATCATCCACTCACAAATTGACTCATCTATTAGAAGGGTTTAGATTTCTCAGAAAACAAGATATTCACCAAAAAATTTAGTTTAAAAATATATGTTGAACATCTGAAAACATTTGCCCAGAAATATGTTAAAACATTGAAGCAGTAGCTGATCATATTCCTTTTTTCCAACAAATTGAGGTTTACTTGAACATAATAAAAAGCACATAACTGAGAATGCAAACCTCCCAATAAAGCTTAAACTTCAGGGACACATCCTCCCTGAAAATTTAGAAACATTATTGTATCTTCAGGGCACACTGATCAGATTAGCCTTTATGCACACAAGGAAAGTGATAATGACTGTAATGTTTTAAAGTATTCAAGGTAATCTACTTCAACATTTGTAAATTTCCCAATATCAAATCATCTAGGAGTAGTTGTCCCTCCCATCTTTAACAGTCATGTTGCTTTTTTTTATCTTTGACGCTTTCTTCTAATAATTATACACTTAATATTAATATTAATAATACAGTCAAACCTCGTCACTGCGGATTGATGGGACCAGCCAAAAAAATCCGTTGTGACCGCTATGGTGATGATCAAAAAAACTGTGTATTGGTAATGGATAATGTAGTTATTCACCATGATGATAAAATGATTCAATTAATGAAAGAAGTTGGTTGTCATGTTTTGTTCTTTCCACTGATTACAATCCAATTGAATTATCATTTTCATTTATTAAAAAATGGATAAAAAGAAACAATATATTTATGCAGAGTTGTGCGGATCCCATATTTGCATTAACAGTTGCCTGTATGCAAATAACAACAAATTTGGCACATTCATATTTTAAAAAGTGTACATATATAAATTAAATAAAATAAGAATATTCATTTTTATTGTAATTAATATTTGATATCTTTATATTTTTCTGCCTCTCTAATCATTTTTTTTCTTATACCAATTTTATCTATGTTAAAATATCCAAAACATCAATTGATTCATTGATAAAACTGTCCAAAAATTGAGTAAACAAATCATCTCTATACTTTTGATCTAATTTTTCTAAAAGGTCATTTATTGATGGTATGTCTCTTGGTTGTGAATTAATTGGTTTTGTTGGTGAGAGCAATGAAAAATTGATTGGGTGATTATTTTGTGGATAGGAGGGATTAACTGGTGGTTGATATATTGGATAAACCATAGGATAAAATTGAGAAGAAAAGGACTCAATTTCTCGATCACACACAAATGTTATTATTCAAGTATGATTGCTTGGCAAAACTCCTCCAGAAATCAATCGGCAGAGTTTCAACATGTTACGCGCTAATTTTTTAATAGAGCTTCGGCAGAGTTTCGCATTTGAGGGTTTTGACAAAGCAGAGTTTCATCAAGTTACACATTAATTGCTTATTAGAGTTTCGACAGAGTTTCGGCATTCGTTAAGAGGTTTCGGCAAGCAACCTTATATCCAAGCAACAAATGCATTGTTACAATCTGAAGATTATGACTATTTACATAATCAATTAAATTGGTCTTGAGCTGTTATCAACTATGCTTAATAGACTTCTACAATATTTTGATGATAATAATGATAATAATAATATTTATTTATTAATTATTAAAGATTGGTGTATTCAGGCAAGAGGTGTCCCCTTTCATAATTAAATCATCCATTTCGTAATAATAGTGCAATTAGAGGAAAATGAATTTTTTAGGAAATGACAAATAAAAAAACGCGCGTAACATTTTTAAAAAGTGACCCTTTTCTTGACTACATCGAAAATCTCTAGCATTTAATTCAAACGACCTTTTGTCCATTTTGGCTTGCCATAGTATGCACCATAAAAATCAGTGAAATATTACAATCAGTTGATCAGTTAAATCGATTGATTGGTAAAATTTAATTTCATTACAGTAGACAGTTTCGAAAATTTTAATTATATAGGTCAAATTATGTTCTTTCTAATATTATTGCAAACCTTAGGGTTATATATTACTTAATTTTTGGTCTGGGTCAAATCATATAACAAACAGGAATATTTGTTACCGACATATCTATAAAGTTGTGGGATCCCGTCGCAGCATGCCCCATATTATTATAGACGAATTTGTGTGATGTCAAGGCAAGTCTGTGTGACACCGATCATATCTTTTTATTTAAATAAATAAAGCTAGGTTAATTGGATATGTCATATAATGCTCCTAAACGTAAAACTTTTACCCTTCGCAATAATGAAAAACTATGGAACAAGAAACAAAAATAATCTAAATGGTTGCATAGTAATACAGTACAAAAGCGATAAAAATTTTTGATAATATTAAATACAGATGTTCACATGTAAATCATAAAAATAAAAGTTGAACTTATTGCTAAAACACTAATAATAATACTGATAATGTTATATTCCAATGTCGGCTTTAAAGAATTACTATTATTATTCTTAGATTCTTGGTTAGCTGGCGCAATTGTCTTCTTAACGACCACCACAGTACTTGGTGGTATATAAGTTGCAAAAGTTGTCAGTTCACCGTTTGTTCCTGTCGTACTTGTGATTGTCGTATAGCCAGGTATTGTCTCTGTCATAGTTGTCAGAGTTGTTGTAAACTTTGTAATTGTTTCACTTTTTCCATTTTGTGTTATTACTGTTTGAGTTGGTGTTGTGATGGGTTCTTGAGTTACTGTTGTAGTCGATAATGTTGTAGTGTTTCCTGTGATGGTAGTATTTGATATAGTGGCGGTATTACTATTACTCACAGTTGTTTTTGGCGATGATGGTATAGTTGAATCCACTGGAGTAGTTGACACAGATGTTAAAGGGTTGGTAGTATTTGGACTGTCAAGGAAAAAATGGATGTAATAGTTGGGAGAAAGGTAAATGAAAAAAAAATGAAAAGTGAAAAATGAAATAAAAATGAAAATTTTGTTCTATTTACACAGGCGTGCTGGTGTCAATCGGAGTTGTTGTTGTAATTGGATTATCTGTAGTTTGCGAAGTTACTGGGGTTACTGGGGTTACTGGAGTAGGCGAGGCATCAGGAACTTGTGATGACACCGAAGTATCTGGTGGTTTTATAGTTTCTGTTTGTACTTGTGAGGTCTCTGGTACCTTTGATTCTTGTGAACTAGGATATTGTCTTTTGTTAAGATCGTTTATAATTGAAGACGTGTAAATTGGTTCGATAAAAATTGTAGTAATCATTATGAGCAAAATTATTATTTTGAAGCATTTTGTTGAATTGGCCATTTTTTATTACTATTATTACTATTATTATTATTATTATTATTACTATTATTATTATTATTATTATTACTGGTAAGAAAGAAAGAAAGGTTATTTTTCTTCAGAGTAATTTAATATTTAATATTTTACATTGTTTAATATTTATATAACTTTTTAAATTCCATCCAAATTAGTTATTAATTACAAATCTATATTTACACAAAACGAGAAATAATTTTTCGTCATAGCACACATGCATTTATCTGTTTTGTAAATATTTATATTAAAAATAAAAATTGGAATTAATTTTTATATTTTTTTGATCGCTATTTTCATCAAATAAATCTTATTATTAAATTCATGCTCAAGTTTATTGTTTTTTGCTTTGGCCTTCGCTTGATTATTTTTCAATTCGGCTTTTGGATAATTTTCTCTTGTTTAACTAATTTGGGATTGTTTTTTCTAATTCATTAACTTGACTCGAATGATGTTTTCACTTTAGTATTAGGATTTCTCTTTTTTAAATACTTAATTGCCTTTTCAGCTTAACGATATCTTCCCTTTTGTTCTAGTTGTAATTTTTTTACTGTTTTCTCCCAAATACCTGAAAAATAAAATTCTTGGCTTGGGAAAAAGGCGTTTTTTATAACTAATAATAGAGTGGCGATGTTAGTCATATCAAGTTAATAAGGAAAATTTAATTTAAAAGAACAATTGTTTTAACATGATTTTATATTATTTCCCTAATTAATACAACAATCAATAATAATTTTGATGAATCACGCCGAATTATCTTTAACTCTGCACATTTAAAAAATTGGGGTTCACTATTACTATTACTTTACAACTTTACGACGAAGGAGTTCTACCATAGAATATTTTGGCTGGTCGTATGACTATATTAGCTTACCAAAAATGGTATCTATTCCTCAGGGGCGATCAAAAAGATAATAATTTTCCCTCAAATTTTATTGGTCAAAATCACCTTCACGTGATATTCCAACATTTTTGTTCCGTGCACAAACATTTCTAGCGGTCAGGTTTTGCGTTTGTCATTAACTTAATTTTTACAAACAGGTATGCGCTCACGACCATGTTGAAAATACTGGAGCAGGTACTAATTGGAAGCGACAATTTCTTTTGTAGCGTCTTCTGTCAGTTTTTCAACATGCATTTGCGTAAGCATGAACAGTAATTGATCCTGCGTTAGAAAAGTTGGGCGGAATCAAAGAAGCCTTCATCCTAAGACAGACCGGGAGAATGTGAATGAGGTAAGTGATGCCCGTTTGAAAATACTGTTCTTGCATTAGTATGTGACCAATAATCAAGATTAAAAATTATTATTATCTGTGTTGATTCTTTATGAAAGGTAAATTTTACAAGAATGAGTGAGTGATTTTAATCGTCAAGGATCAATGAATTTACTATTTGTTAATCACCACGCTTTTTCGTATAAATAATCCTCCTATATATACCTTCTTGCTACTTAGTATGATAACTATTGACATTACGACTGCAGCAGTTCATGGCACTAAACGATTAATTTGAAAATATGTGGTATAATATTGTTAAGATAAAACTTATTTATATAGGGTCATTAAGGACATCGAAATATATCTACAGAAGTCAAGTTTGAGCTGTTATTTCCTAATTTGGTAACACTCGACCTCTGTAGATATATTTCGGGGCCTAGTTATTATTAAGTGAATGGAGAATAATAAATATAATTGTTCTGATGAATATTATGAAGCAATTGATTTTTAAAAATGGGTTATGGTTGTGGTTGTTCATCAAAAATTCCAAAAGAAGAGTTTGCAGAATTACGAGAAGCCTTTCAAGCTCTTTCTAAATCAGAACAAGAACATGGCAAATTTATTTACGTAATGCCGAATTGTGTAATTCATAAATGTTAATATTCCAAATAATAATTATTTTGAGTTTCCACTTGTCCTTATAAAATTGTAATTATAAAAAAAATTTACGGAGAACACTTTAGATGAAAATAAACATCATGATGATACTTCTACTGATGATGATGAATATACAAAGAAAAGGGATGGATGAAAAGTATGGATGTTTATGTGTTTCAGATCGTTTAATAATAGTAATGTTGCGCATTTTTTAAATTCTGCTACCGTGATAATGAATTAATTCCGAATTGTTGGTGGCAGGAAAAATATTTTCTTTACATTTTCAAAAGGGCATGGTTGTTTAATATTAACAATAAGGACTTAATTCCCAAATTATTAGTCAGGAAAGAATCTTTACATTTTCAAAAACAATAACGGATTAATTCTAAATTGTTTAGGGAAGTGTTTTGAAAAAGGCTTGATTTAATCAAGTGACTTTTTTTTTAATTAAATTGTTGGGGGAGTGAGTGCTTATGATCAAAATAAGGATAAGAAAAAAGAAACTGATAATCAATCAATTTTATGAAACATTTTTTGGTCCCAAAGTATTCTTTCCAAACACTGGTTTAATCGAATTGTATTTTTTCGCTAACTTTCGTTAATTATTTTGTGTTGGAAAAGTTAATTATAACGTTTACCTTTATAGAATTCAATTAAATATAAATATGTAACACATTTTTAGAAAAGTTATTTTCTGTGTAAGAAAAAAATACATTATTATTATGAATGAATGAAAACTGAAAAAATGTCACCAATCGCGTAATATGCGCATGCGCTAACCAAATTGTAAATTAATATTAACTGCAGTCTAATTTCATATAAATTCCATTAAAATCAAGTTTTTCAGGCTGAAATCATTATCTATGGATTTATAAGAATAAAGAAATATTGATCATTGACATTGATTATATATTTACTATTACTGTTCTTTTTCAATGAAAATTATTCTGATCAAATATGATTTTAATAGTTTATAATAATAAAAAGTCCTTTCCTTAAAGACATAAAGGCAGCGCAAGTAAAATATATATAAATAAATATCGTTGTGATATTATGTTTGTTTGTCTGTCATATCTGGAATCATTTTCTGACGGCGAATTATCGGTTAAAAAATAAAATTGTTAATATTTCTCTGAGGCAAAAATAACAAACAAACAATGAATTAATTTAGAATGAATTTTTCCACGGAATTGTTAATATATTAATATCAATATTATATGAATTGAAACACAATAAATTCAGAATTTTACACATGACTTTTTTAAAAAATAAACGCACGCCTTTTTTCTTTTCTTTTATTAATATTTTAATTTAATGATTCGACCATGAGTTATTTTTGCTAATGATATATTAAAGAACTCCTCACAAAAAGATGATTTTTGATCTTTAATAAAAATATTAAATGCAATCATTTTTTTTAAAAAATATATTTTTCAAATCCATTGCCTCCAAACTTTACCGCTTCGTCTTCTCTCTCTTGACATTTTCATCATCGTCTCCCACTTGTAAATGAAAAAATTCCTTCTTTTCCTTCTCCTTTACCAACACCAACAACAACAATGATAAAAAAACTTAATTTAGCAATATCTGGTATGAGTTGCAAAAGTTGTTCTGGTAAATAGAAAGTACTCTACAAAATCTTTCAGGAATCATAAAACCTAGTATTAGCGTAAATTTTTAACTGGTAATGCTTCGTTAGAATTTGATACTGATAATTTAGAAAAATAATTAATTATATGGAACATACACTATTTTATGGCTTTCCTCATAATGCCAGAATGTAGAAGACATACAGCAGGCTCTTTGAAAAGAAAGAGTCCAAGTGCAATTTCAGAGTCCCAACCTCACTCTGAATTGCAATCGCTTGAGTTTGAAGCAAATTGCAACCTGAGTTGCAATTTCTTAGTTGCAGAGCCTAGAAATAGGATTTTTACAGGAAACTTTTCTGCCTTCTCGGAGAGGGAAGATTAGGATTCATAAAAGTGTCCTTGAAAATGATGCAGTTTTGGTAAACTTCAGGGACACGTCCCCCCTGAAAATTTAGCACACTGATCAGATTAGCCTTTATGCACACGAGGAAAGTGACAATGACTGTAATGTTTTAAAGTATTCAAGGTAATCTACTTCAATGTTTGTAAATTTCCCAGTATCAAATCATCTAGGGGTAGTTGTCCCTCCCATCTTTAACAGTCATGTTGCTTTTTTTTATCTTTGACGCTTTCTTCTAATAATTATACACTTAATATTAATATTAATAATACAGTCAAACCTCGTCACTGCGGATTGATGGGACCAGCCAAAAAAATCCGTTGTGACCGCTATGGTGATGATCATGATCGACAAATTTTTTTTTAATAAATAGTAATAGATCATAATAACCTGATACTAATATATACATGCAGGAATTAAAAATCTATTTTTTGAAATAAGATGAAATATTTGGTTGTATTAATTTTTCATTATTTTTTTTCGATTATAGTTGTAAAATTAATAAACAAAATTTTCATCTTAATTTATACATTTTGAAATTTTGATCTTTGGAGAAGGATAATAAATCCTGTTCGTTTTATTGTCTAAAAACTTTCAGTTATTTATTTGGAAACTTGGGATTTTGTTACTCACAAATATTTGAACATACAATCTATTTAATTATTTGTATTGATAAATTATTTTAGAAACTTGGAAAATTTTGTTACTTGTAAACTTTTTAACAAATAATTCATTTAATTGTTTGTTACTTGCAGACGTTTGATCAATTATTTAGAAACTTAAAAAATATTGTTACTCGCAAGCATTTGATAAATTATTTTAGAAACTTGGAAAATTTTGTTACTTGTAAACGTTTGAACAAATAATTCATTTAATTGTTTGTTACTTGCAGAAGTTTGATCAATTATTTAGAAACTTAAAAAATATTGTTAATCGCAAGCATTTGATAAATTATTTTAGAAACTTGGGAAATTTTGTTACTTGATCAAATAATCCGTTTATTGTTTTGTATTTAAATCCGTAAATTAAAAAAATTTTTGTTGCCTATTTTAGTAATTCGGATAATTTTATAAATTTCTATGTCACGTGAATCCGCTGTGGTAAGATTAGTTAGTCATATAGAAG